AGAGGAGAAGGCAGAGGGTACCCAGAGCCGTGGCTTAGAGGTGGACAGGTGGACAGACATGGGACAGGCAGAAGGGAGGCAGAGGTGGCCACTCAGGGCCAGGGACCCAGTGGCTGGGCTGATGAGGAGCCCCAGGAAGGGGACAGGGTGATGGGTCCCTTGAGTCCTTGCTTGGTCATGATTTTTATCAGATGGGGCTCTGTGGCAGTCTTAAGCTGTCCAATATCGTCCGGGCCTGTCCTGCAGGGCTGGGAGTGCCGGTGTTTTGTGGGGTCCTCTGCTAGGGGCACTGGAAGCAGAGGGGGCAGCTGGGGCAGGGCAGAGAAAGCAGAAACTACAGAAACAGTAGCATTCGCCTAAGAGGCTCCGAGGTCCGGGCGCCCCAGGTGGACCCGGCCCTGTGGGTGCTGTGGTGAGCCAGGCAGAAGTGGGCTCTGCCTCAGAGGCTGAGCGCGTGGGAGGGTGGCCCCACATTTACAAGCAAGTTGTGGGGGAAGGAGGTAGTGGGTGGATAAATTCAGAGCCCCCACACCTACCCTGTCCTCCCGCCAGCCCACATACCAGGGTCCTGAGGCCCAGGGCCTGTCTGAGGGCGGCCTGCAGGGCAGAGCAGGCTCTTTCTTTACTCTCCAGTCCTTTCCTTCCTCTCTGGTCGGGGCCTTCCTGAGCAGTGGGTGCCAAGGCCGGTCAAGGTTTGGGGGGAGGGGTGCAGTCTCATCCCTGAGGCCCCCTTCCTGCAGCGGCCTCCAGGGCTCTCCCTCCACCAGGGCCTGGGTGAGGGTTGCCCAGGCAGCCCAAACCCCAAACCCCAAACCCCAGAGGTCCTGGGGGAAGGGCTGGGACTGGCCGGGCTAAAGGGCAGGACCAGATAGTCCCCTCGCTGAAGTCCGCTCTGCGCCCGGCGCTGTAGAGGCACATCCGGTAGCTCTGGGGGAGTCCTCCTTGGGAGGGCGGTGCTCTAGGCCTGTGGGCTCTTCTGGGACCGCTCACGCGCCTCATCTCCAGCCCGAGCCCCGTTTCGGCGGGCTGGCGGGAAGCCCCGACGGGGGGCGTGGGGTCGGAGGGGGCCCCATCCAGGGCTAGCAGGCGCCCTCACTCTTCCCGAGACGCGGGTGGAACGGGAATCCCTGAGCCCGGAGTCGGTGCGAGACCCTCGGGAGCGCGTCCCCACAGCCGCGGTCCCCGCCCGCGAGCTGCCTCCAGCTGCCAAGTAGCCGGGATGGAGGCAGGAGGGAGGAGGGGGG